TCAATTATAGAGCTTTATGTTATGCAATGCAAGTGTTGTGTGTGAGGAGAAATGTTCATACCTCTGACAGAAAAATAAATAATGAAATAAAATAATTGCAAATAAAATAAAATGAAACATATAAATATTATGAAAATAATAAATAAATATAAAAATTTTGAAAAGATAAAATTAAAAATTAAATATGAATTTTTAATTTTTAATTAATAGAGACAATTCATAATTGATTTTTAAAAGTTTGACCGGTCCCCAGCGGAGTCGCCAAGCTGTCGTAACCGGTTTTCGTCCGGGCACGAAATATTATACTTGGCATGGAAATTGATGTGAATAAATATTTTTGAAAATAATTTGGGAGTCGCCATCGACCTTTTGGATTAGGTAGGTCGAATACCTAAAAATTATTTTCTTTAAAAGAGTTTTAAGAAAACATCAATTAAAAAAATGAACTGATCTGCGTTTTATAACCAAAAATTCGTTCTTTTTAATAATAAAAAGGATTCGTGGTTGGTTACGTTTAGGGAAGGATTAGCACCCCTACAACGCCCAAAATTGGTACTTTTTAATTATAAATTGTCTCTATTATTAAAATTTAAAAATTTAAAAATATATTTAATTTATAATCCTATTATTTCAAAATTATATATAAAAAAAATATTTATTTAAAAATATCAGAAAAGAACTTCTAGGTGCCTTAAGACAGCTCTTTTCTTTGATATTGATAAATATTAATTTAAATAATATTGTTTAATTTTTAATTTTAAAATATCAGAATAGGACATCCAGTTGTATTAAGACTGTCCTTTTCTTCGATATTAAAAATAAATATTTAAAAATTACTATTTATTATATATATATTTATGAATATATAAAAATATTTAAAAATATAAACAAATAAAATAAAAATACCACTAAAACAATATATTTTAAAAACAGTAAAATAAATGAAAACATATAAAATAAATGACTAAATTATAGTAAAAATAAAATTAAAAATCTAATTCATAATTAATCAAAATTATAGGGATTAAACATGCTATTTCTTTATTTTATTTATTTAGTGACTAAAATAAAATTATCTAAAATTCGGATATTAGAATAAAATAAATTAAAAAATAAACTAAGGATTAAAATATTATTTATTAAAATTAAGGGATTAAAACTGTTATTTATCCTAAATATATTATTTTAATATAAAGGACTAAAATGAATAAAATTGGAATTTGAAGACTGAATTAAAAATATTATAAATTCGATTTAGTGACTAAAATGTAAAGTTTACAAGTTAGGAGGACGGCGGACGGGGTTTAACTATTGTCTAATTACGCGCATAGTCCTTCCCGAAACGACGTCGTTCGGGAAGGCCTATAAAAGGTCCAAAATCGGCTGGCCCGAAGGGCCAGCTTCATTTCTTCATTTTTCTTTCTCTCTCAAGCAGAGAGAGCTCTGGCTTCTCTCTAGCTTCCCTCATCGGAGGGAAGCCGGTCACCGGACGGCAACCGTCTGCCGCCGTGACCGTCACCGCCGGCCACCGCATCTGGTGGCCGGAAAATTTCATTTTTCCACCATTAAATAGATCGGAACATCCTAAGGGTGTTTCCGGTGTTCTTTTTCTTTAAAACGCTCCTAATCGGAGCAAATCTACAAAAGTACCTTCGGTTGTTCGAAGGTTTTGGTGAGATCCGGTGGTCGGCTTCCTCGGTAAGCTTCTCTCCTCCTTTTTCTTCTATTTTGGTTACTGGTTGTGAGATGTTTGACTGAGTTCGTTGGTAGTATTTTGTATATTTTTTTTCGGTTTTGTCTCCCTAGGATCTGTTCTCTGTCTCTCTGTTCTCCTTTTTTTTTTCTGTCTTCTTTTTTTTTTTTCAGGTTCGGGTGGTGGCTTTTATAGCCACCACCGGTGTGGCCATCGGACCGGTTCGAAGAGGGGGTTTCGGTGAGTCACCGGACTACCAGTGGTGACTCACCCCTTAGCCATGGCGTGTGGAGGGCAGCTGGGTCTTCTGGAGTCTTCATTTGGGACGTGGCAGCGGCGGAGGCGGCGAGAGCAGCAGCGGCGGCCGCGTGGTCTTCTGGATTCTACGGCGGCGCTGGGACGTGTCCCTAGGGTTTCCTCTGGCAAACTGTGGACCGTTGGATCCAATCAGATCCAACGGCTGAAATTGAGCGGCGGCAGCTGGATAAAAAACCCTAATTGGGTTTTAGGGTTTCTGATTTGGGCCATTTGGGTCCTTTGTAATTGGGCCGGTACAATCTGGGCCTGTTTGTAATATTAATAAATAATATATATTAATAATAATAATTATTATTATAATAATAATAATTATAATAATATTAATAATAATAATAAAATGAATAAATAAATAAAAAAAAATTTAGTATCTTCAGCTATTTTCTTGCATTATACGCGCAAATGCTTTTCTGCAAGAGCACGAGAAATTTATTTTATTTTCATTTATTTTATTATTTTGTTTATTTATTTTAGGGAAAATTATTAGCATCAGTGTAGTGAAGAATGGCTTGTGAACGCTCCCCAATATTAAAGCAGCACAACGCTTTAATCTGGATTGATGCAACCCAAGCATGCTTATATAGATCCTCATCAAATACGTTCACTCTTAAGGTTTACTATGGCACCAACCCTATAAACTATAAAAACCTATAATAATATGTGCCTTAATAATACCTAATGCTTCAAGTTTATAGCAGAGAAACGTTGAAGAAGTTTTGAGTGTGTTCGTATAAACCAAGACTCAACATTCTAACTTCCAATCAAGTGAGACGAAATCAAATCAATACTAATTACAAATCGGAACTCATTAGAAATGGGTGATCTGAAGAAACTAATGAACTGTTAAACCCCTTCTAGGAAGCAAGCTACCACTAATTAAATTCTAAAGTAAGCACTTGAATATTTCATTTGAATCAGGCAGTGGTTATTATTATTATTATTATTATTATTATTATTGTTATTTCGTTAACATAAACTAGCAATGCCTAATTTATTTATGATTAAAACCATGCAAAAAGATGCCAAGTTTAAAAGCTAACAAACTTATTATTTTATCCCATAACCCACGGCATATATATAGAGAAGATGGAGAAAATTTTCTAGATAATTCATGAGAAATATCTCATGTACATGTATTCTTGTCAATTTATTAATTAAATGAATATAAAATCTTTTAATACAAATTTACAATTTTACCCTCTAAAAATCTTAATATTCCCCAATTTGTCAAGTATGGCATCATTCCTTACCTCATCTTATCCATAAAAATATCATATTCATTTATTTCCATACTTGCCCTTGTATTTTTCTAAAATTTCAATTTAATCACTCTAATTCCACTATCTCACTTTAACTTGAAAATTTCACTTAATTTCACCGATCAATGTCAAATTTCATCATTTAAAAAAATTGAAATAACATTTCCGTCCTTTTTCCATCATCCTTCAATTTTTCATAATTTCCCGTTGGTCATCCGATTATCTTACCGAACTTTATCGCTTAATTTTCATTTACACAAATTCAGGATCGAAATCTAAATTCAATAAAGAATCCATTCCTACATATGTATAGAATAAAATTTCTTTTTGGGAAAACTATCATTTTGGTCCTTGAACTTTTCCCAAGTTTCTACTTTGGCTAATAAACTTTCAAAATTTTCATTTTAGTCACTAGTCAAATTTTTAGGAGTATTACACATACAACATAATTGATCAGTTAATATTATATTACATTTTATAATTACATCATACATAATTATATATATATATATATATATATATATATATATCCGTAATTATAAATTTTAATCTAACCATTTCCCAGCAATTGCTTTACAACAAAGGAAAGGAAAAAATTATAGGTATATGATGCTGGTAAATAATCATATAAACATCTCCAATTGAACGTCATTTTTCTCTGTAAAGTTATTTGACACGATCATTGTATGTATATACTAAAATTTGAACTTTTCAGAGTGTGAATTGATTACTGTCAGCCACTTCATACAAAGAACGAACTATAAGGGTCAACAGCTACCATAAAATGTAAAGAAGATTCCAAGTTGAAATCAACAACCAATAGGCATGGTGTTTTATCATTAGTTTACTCCCTTGAATAATATTGTGAGATTAAAATAACGGCATTAACTTCATTTTTTAATGTTAAAGTATGTGCACTTCCTTGTTGAAAAAAGCATAATTTCATTAAACTAAAACAATTGTGTTGTGATAGAGCATTATCATGAGTGCATCATATCTTGAGGTCAAAGATTCCAAATCATAATAGTTATCATTGATGGCCATATAAGGTACAAGGATACTTGAAATTTTATTTAAAAAATGTGGGAATAAATTTTATTGTTTTTATAATTATTAAATATAATACATCAATTATCAATTTGTTTGGTTAGATAAAATATTAGATTCTTTATTTAAGATTAAAAATTTAAATTTTAATGTTATAAATGTAGCAAATTGATTTGAGCGAGTCACTCCATGATGGAACAAACTGGAAATATTTTTTCATTTTTTTGTAAATATTAAAGAAAAATAATGCACTAATAATAAATTAATTGGTTCAGTGAGATGTGACATTGTATCTCTTAAGCAATATCGAAGGTTTGAATCTTGACATTGTGAATATAACAAATTAAATTAGGAGGATAGTCCATCATAATATACAATATATGATTATGGATTAATCGATCAATAGATCAAATATTAATTAAAAAACAATTCTCTAGTCACTTCAAAATTTAAATATTTATTCTTACTCTCTGGAATTACATTTTCTTCTCTCATAAATTGCACCCAGAACTTACAAAGGTTCTATTTGGGAGTTAGATTTAAACACTTAAAATTTCACTCATAGAATGAGATTTTGATACGAGATGTACCCAACTCCTAAATAGAGCCCACGAAATGCTATCTTCCTAAAGCTTTCAAAAGTAACCATGGTGATATCGGCTGAAACTGTCGTTAAAATCCCCTCTCTACAATATCTCATCCTCCACCTCATGCAACCCTGCAAATCAATGCATTAATTAAAATGAGAAAAGGGTTACAACTTTCATGCCTTTTATAATAAATTAATTAACACATTGGGTTCATTTATTTTACTGAAAACAGATTTTGGAAAATGAGGAAGATGTTTGTGGAAAACCCAATTGTACTCAGAAACTCTATTTGAATTACATGATGCTTTGGGGATGTCCACGTTTTCATCGTTGCGGGTGAATCTGCCACGTATACGGGGACGGTTGTCTGCCAGTGTTTTCCGGCATGCATACTTTACAACACTATCGAACGAATTAGTGTAGTAATCAAACGAAAACATTAATTGCTCATTTTGATTTTCTTTTTCATTTTTTTAAAAAAAAAGAAGAATATGAAGAAGAGAGAACCTTAATTGTTTTGTTGAAGTTCCTTAGATTACGCTTTGCTCTGTACTTTGAAATCCTCTCTTGTCTCTCTTCTGGGTTGTATCGCCCCACTTTGAACGGCGCTTCCTCCATTAACGAGTTCTCTACTGTTAATGTGCTTGGATTTGACCTTTGGTTGCCACTCTCGTTTCTCATATTCTAAATTGCCAAGAACAAAAAAGATTCCAATTGATGTATTAAACAAAAACAAAGGCATAATACTAATATATATATATATATATATACTTTAATTCTTTAATATTTTAATCTTTATGTTTCATTTTAAAACAAAAAAAACTGATAGAAACTGTTAGTTAATGAAGGATGGACATTTCAAAATATGAGCTATTTTGTCTTGAATAAAAGTTTAGGGCCAAAATACTAAAAAAAAAGAGAATAAGACCTATAGCGGTTATTTTATCAAATGTTAAGATTTGTTTGTCCTAAAATGAAATATTGAGGGTTAAAAATACTCTATAAAAAGATAGAATAAAGACTAAAATGACTATTTAATTAAATGTTGAAGACATTTTTGTATTGGGGTAAACTATATATTTAGTCATCCAACTATTCATGGGATTTTATTTTAGTCACCCAACTATTTTTTTCTCAAAATTATACCTAACATTTGATTTTGTTTACATTTTGATCACTCACCTTAAAAAAACTAATAGAACTAATGACATGATAATGTTTTTAATGATATTGTGACATTATCTTGATATGACACATCAACATCACCGTAAACTTTTAACAACGGGTAATGTTTGGTATGATTTAAAAAAATAATTATATAACCAAAACATAAACATAAGAATAATTGAGCGACTAAATACTTAGCTTACCTTTTGTAGGAACGGGAAGAAAAAAAACAGAGTCAAGAAATGATTTACCACTAAGTCGCCAGTGCTGGAAACCTTCCTCATATGCCCGGCGAAAAAGGTGTTCTCCGGCAAGCTGAACGCGGCTTCCCTTGGGAGATTCTGTGAATCTATGAGAGAATCAAAAAGAGGTCGGAATAAAAAGTTAGACTCTGCTTCAGAAGAATTTGCTGCATTTTCTACATCAGTACAGTAAGCAGAATCGAAATCCACTTGACATTGTTCATGTTTAACTGCTGCAAAATTCAAGCTGCTGAAACTCCGGTACCCGTTTCCTGCGTTTGGATCGAATGAAAGAGGTGGAAAGTGGGTGGTCTGATAAAGGCTGAGATTTTCAAGCTGGTCCGTCAACGGCGGCCCTGAAAATGAAACCAATTGATCTGAAGAACAAGCGGACTCATCGATTGGGTTCTTTTGGTTCATCAAAGCTTGAAGATTGTAATCGAATGAATCTTCGTAGAGAGGAGAGAAAGGGAGATCAAAGAGTAAGTGCTCGTCCAAGTTCGCGGAGAAACCATTTCATAGCGGTTGAAGGAAGAAGACCCTTCAGAAACTGAAATATTGTAAGACATTTGATTTGAGAACTAAACTGACCAAATCTTTGATTGAATTGAACCCCAAACAAGGAGAAAATTGGGTTGATATTTCTATTCGGCCGACAAAACACGACTGGATAGAGTGTGGGGTTTATTTATTGAAGCATTTACGTTACATTCATGCAAGAACAATACAGGTTTTTTGCCTTCCAAACAATACACATAAATAGCCGACCTCAAGAATTGGCTTCTAAATAAGATGTGAGAAATGCGTAAACTGCGGCCGCGAATACAGAAAAAAAAATTGGATCTAAAAAATATATATCTACTAGATTAATATAGTTTTTAAATATAACTTATATATACTTATTTAAAAGAAAATTTGATTTTTGAGACATGAGGTGGGCCATGGCATGGGTAGCCCCCCTTTAGATACGCCCCTGTGCGTAAAATTAGTTTTGATTACTTGTATAAATCGAGTGACCTTAGTGATAAATGAATTGATGTTATTTCTTGAGGTTTCGGATTTGAGCGCCAAAAATATCAGGGTGTGAACGTTCAATGTTAAATGGTTGAGAGTTATCTTTAAACAAATATTACCTTATACTTACCCTAAATTAATAAAAAAAATTGATTACTTTGAAATTTAATTACTATTGTAGAAAATAACAATGATTCATTATTTGTTTTTGTCATGAATTAATATAGTATAAGATTACATTCTTACTTTGAATATTTTTAAGGTAAATTTTCTATTTGGTACGTGATTTATTCATATATTTTTTGTTTTGGTCATTCAATTATTTTTTGGATAAAATTATGCTTAATCATGCTTTTCATTTTTATTCTAGTTACCGACCGTTAAAATAACAAAGATGATGTAGTTTGATATATTAACAATTTATAGTTTGATATATTAGCAATTTAAGTCTTTAAACTTGTACATTTTATCAATTTGGTCTAAATTCTATCACTCATCATCTTAAATATTTGGTTCAAACCCTAAATTCCTATAATCCAACATAAATACCTAAATTCTCCATCTTGATAAACTATATGTTGATAACCTATATGGCCAAAACAATTTTATTGATTTCTTTAGTTTCAAAATCTTGGAGTTTGATGATGAGTTAAGAATCTATAAAATGAAATTAATTGAGAGAATATGAAATAATATCTTACAAGATTTGATTGAACGGGTTTTAGATAGAAAATTTGGATTACAACTGATTATAAACACATTGCTATAACATCTTATTGTAAATGTTACTTCGACAAAGCAACAAAATTTATGGCATTGAAATTCATATTAGCATATATCAGCAACAAATTAAAGATAATGATTGCCAAATCATCTTAGATATAACACCATTACACAGCTGAGAGAAACAAAGCATCTCTACATTTAGTACTTCAGATGCCGTTGAGTTTAACCACCACTCTACGAGGTATTGGATCATCGCAGTGCTCGAAAAGCCGAGACGGATTAAATGAGTGTCCTCCTTCCCGTCATGGAGAGGACTTTACCCTTCCATCCTTACCGTTAAATGGCACGTAGGTGCCTGAATTTACCTTTTTATGGATTATTGGACCTCCCAAGTAGGTTCCCAAATCATTCGTGAGGGGAATGCCACAAAGATCACTTAAGTATTTTTATGCAACCGAATTATTATTCGGGGAAACAAAGAGCTTAGATTTTAGTAAGTTTACCTCTAGGCCTGCAACTCCGCTATGTTGGTAATGCTCAATCCCACATAGTGTTGGAAACACTATTGGGAATGGTATTTAAGGCTTGACATTCCACTTCCTTGTTGAGTGATAGAGAACAAGGGGGGCTCTCGCGCACCGCCGCCGCCGTCCGTCTCGTCTCGTCTCGGCTCGGCTCGGCTCGGCTCGGCTCGGCACGGCTCGGCTCGGCTCGGCTCGGCTCGTGGTCGTGGTCGTGGTCGTGGTCGTGGTCGTGGTCGTGGTCGTGGTAATACGTGTCATACAATGTGACATACAAAAAAATTATATACATACATTTAAACTTAAAAATATAAACAATGCATATTAACATATAACGTACAAATATGACTCAAATATAAAACAAAAATTTAACATATTAAACTATAAATTTAAAAAAAATGTATATTTACATATTAAAATAATGACTGAATTTAAATATATGTAAAATTAAAAATTAACGTACAATGTATATTTGAACACTGCCACCGTCGCTCGGCCACCATAAACGCCGATTGGCCACCGCGATAGCCAAAGAGACCAAACAACACTTTAATCAACATAAAACACTTTGTTCTACTCTCCTAACCTTTCTCTTCTCTGTTTTAACCCAAAAACAAGACTAAGGCCAACATGCAAAACCCCCTACCCCTAAAGAGGATCGACTGTTCAATTTCCTAGCCCCGACGGCAAGTCCCTGTCAACGAGATCACTAACAAAAGGTAAACTACTCTCATCTTTTCCTATATTTTGGTTCGAATCAAAGAGATGGTTGCAAAGAAGAAACGTAATAGGGAGACAAAAACTACGTCCCAAAAGAGATTCTTTTTCTGTTGTAATCCTTTTGATTTGAAAATGATGAGAATTTTACATGGGTTGTTTGTTTTTCTATTTTGTTCTGGTTTCGAGATAAAGAAAATATGGTTGTTTGAAATGCAGAAGAAAGAAAACATTTCGAGAAGTTTTTTTTGTGTATCTCTTTGCTACGAATTTTTTAGGGGGAACAAATGATGGAGGAGAAGCCTTCCTTGCTTTCTACTTTTTCTTTCCCAATTTCCCTGGCGCCCTTACAACGCTCTCAACCAACACTGCTGCGTGATGAAACTACTACCAACTGAGCTTTTCCTAAAACAAATTTCAATCTAGACCCGAAGCATAACAGGTATATCGAGACTAACTTAATATTTCTACTTGCTTCGAATAAAAAAACGACAAATATGCATGCTTAGTATTTATAAAGTATAAAGAAGATAACCTGCTTATATTGATTCTACTGCTTTTCAGAAGAGTAAGCCGAATCCTTTGTTACATCAATTGATCTTTGAATGTGGTAAAGAAATATCTTACACACACTGTTTTTGTTCCTGCTCTATTGTGTAAAAAAAATAAAAATGAAAAATGGTCACTCGTCTCTCTCGTAATGGTAATGAATTATTGATCACCCAGTTCTTTTTTTCTTCATCTCTGTATAATCTGTGATCGTTGATCTCTAATCCTCCCCCTTTTTTTTATGATGAGTGGTTATTTCCTTTTAGTTTTCAGTAGTTAATCCCTCCACTATCTGATCATATCAACTACTAAAAACCAACATTAATTTCTTTTTTATTATGCATGCAACTGCTGTCCATTGGGCTTGAGATGGGCCTCCAGTTGGTTTGGACACATTTGGGCTCTCACTAATCCACACTGCAACTTGTACTGGATCTAAAACTCGAACGAAGCCCCCGGACGAAATCGAGCATCTACAGCTGCCCCTCTTTGCTCATTGTCGTATAACGAGAATAGAGCAAAGATAAAAAGATGATAGAGTTTGTCCGATTCTGAGAACATCAAAAGGTTAAACCACTCACTGTTACGTCGGCATAATTGAGACTTGAAAAATATTCAAATAACGAGCCCGCTCCCTACTCCTTCAGGAAGTATAAGACTCGAACAATCTTCATAAAATGTGTCTGCTCCCTATTCGTTCAGGGAGTATAAGACTCGAACAATCTTCAATAAACGGGTCCGCTCCCTATTCGTTCAGGGAGTATAGAACTCGAACAATCTTCATAAAACGGGTCCGCTCTCTATTCCATCAGAGAGTATAGAACTCAAACAATCTTCAACAAACAGATCCGCTCTTTATTCCTTCAGAGAGTATAGAACTCAATCTTCATAAAATGAGTTTGCTTCACTACTCTTCCGTGAAGGCTTAAGTTTGAATTGCTTCACTACTATTTCGTGAAAGCTTAAGATTGACCTATTTCGAAGGTTCAACCTGAAAATCAAACATTGCCAATCATTAATGTATGTTTGAAAAATATTATACTCAAAAATTTATAATTTGAGAAAATTTCTGAAAATCTATCTCCATCACGAAAACTTGTCTGGAAGCCATTGGATATATGAATCTGCTTTGGCTCAGTTTTCGAATAAACATCATTCTTGTCAAGATTTCAAAACTAGTTATCCTCCTCTTGATGCTTTCATGTCTTCAATCTTCAACTATCCTTGTGAAACCTGTAGATATTTAAGTCATCATGCAATTATGAATGCCATGATCCTATTCATGCCTAAATGTATGCAATTATGCAATCTAATGCATTTTTTCTTCGAAAGAACACCATATCATTTGATCTCAATGGAACTCGGTTTTATCTTGGGCACAGAACATTTGACCAGTTCACCCCAATTAACAATCTCAATTCCATATCTCTCGGCTTAACAGGACCTTGACTCCTTCCTTTCTTGAAACCTGCCAGTACCCATGACCAACTTCTTGATCAATGGCAATCTCTTTGGGTCTTCTTATCATGGCTGAGATTTTCTATGAATTCCAAAGTTTTAGCTTCCCGTAACCACACAAGCTTACATGTTAAAACCATTTTCAGCTTCAGAATACCTGTATTTTCCAAAACTTTTTGCACAATAATACAAAATGATCTTATGTACTTCAAGTTAAGCTATATGTTTTAACTTTTCAAAATAAGATGTTTGTAAAAGGGAGATTAACAAGAAAAGACATCTCTTTATTTATATAATGCAGAGAATTTTTAGGTAACTACATGGTAAACTTTTAACTGAGAAAAACAAAAGAACAAAAGAGTAGGCATATTCAAATATCAATAATGCAAATGCTTTTGAACTGGCACACCGTTAGAATGACTCGAGTGTAGCTCC